CTCAGTCTTCCCTAGACTAGTCTGTCTATCCTAACGATATCCCTTCCCGCCTTTTCAACCCACCTCCTATGCCCCAGTACAGCTACCGTCCTTTCCTCTCTATTCCATGCCTCAAACATCTCCCTGTACGTTCCATCTATTTTTCCCAGCTCAGTCACGTACACTTCCCTCTCCTTCTTGTACAACGGACATTCCGCGACTACATGAACACGGTCTTCGCATTCGAAGCCGCAATCACATTTGAACTCGTCGTCTTCCTCGTCTACCGTCCTATGTCTTCGTCGACGTTCTCGAAGGCCTATGCCCCCGGTCTTATATTTTGACCTTATAATTTGTCCCTGCATCTGTTGGTCCATGTAGGTAATCCATGAACCTTTTTCCTTCCTTCAACATTCCGCACACTTCTAGACCCTCCTTATTTATCCTTGGGGGGGGGGGCGGGGGGGGGTACTCATAGTCGTTCATGCCGTGTCGTTAGACCATTGACCTCGCATCCCTACAAAGCCGGGACGGAGCACGCCGGGTTCTCACCGGACCAGGCTCTCACATCACCAAGCGCGAAGCGCCATGAGATATTCGGCGAGGCGCATGAAGGGTGCGCTGCATCCTGCGAAGGGTGTTCGGCATCTTGTGCTTACTTCCTTGCGTACGGATGACAGCTGCGAATGACTTGATTTAATTTCTGGTGCTTTCACTTCCTGAGACATTTGTAAGCACTGTGGAAAGGCCTCGAGGATGCGTGACCATTTTAACACAACGTGGTGCGATCATCCCCCTTGCGCGGAGTGAGGGTTCTCGACCCCGCACAACATGATCTACTCGACCACCATTATGGTTACCGCCAAAAAAAAAGCAGAGGTAAAAAAAAGAAAACGGTAACAACCTGGTTGCCGAGTTCACGAAGTGAATTGACTTGTTTTACAACGTTGCCGAGCGACGAAAACCCAATCCCGATGGTAAACACCGAAGGGGGGGGGAGCACGAAGGGGCGGTCTTTTTGCACGCACAGGATTCTCGAATACAGAGTACTTTGCTTTATTCTCCCATCATCGTGCTGGTTGTCTTTGCGGCCATTCGCACTCATTTTTCTTCCTCTCTTTCGAACGTTTTGTGGTTCCTTGTGATTCCCGTTTTGACTAGCTCCCTTTACTCGTTCTCGACACCTACAGCTCTTGGTCAGATAGGGTGTCCCGAACAACCAAAACAACCCGTACGTACGTATAGAGCGCGGGTTGACTAGAGGGCGACGAACGCGCCCCTGTCCAGAAGCACTACTTTGCACGAAGCGAGCTGCTTGGCGCTAGCAGTCTGTTTCAATCGATTGTCTATTGCCCAGCAAAAAAAGGAGAGTAGATTGCGTGGTTGTGGCAATCAATGATTCGATGTGCATGAAGTTCTCGGCCAGTCAACAAAGCGGTGAGACGTCTTGGGCCGAAAGACATTTGAGTCTACAGTCGGATACAATGATCGCAAGCGAGGGAACACGACCAACGGCGACAACTCGACAGTGTCGTTTGGCTGACTGATGACGACGAGCACAACACTTGATTGAGGTAACTTGTGGTGCCTCTACGTGATGCCTGTACAGAGGAGGCAGCACAGCACGACCGCTGCCAGCAAATAACTTTCGACACGTCAGGAAGGAGGCCTAGCACCCTGAAACAGCAACCTCTCATCACCATCACCTTCACCATATCACCAAGTATGCGCCTCCAAAGGGAATCTATCGCGGTGTATTCGCTTGTTTTAGACTTTTGCACTACGGCTTGAGGTTTGGGAACGTTAGACAGACTATAGTGAGGTGCACGCAAGGCTTCCCACAACATATATCTACGCTGTGAAGTTTTCCGGACAACATCGACTACAACTGCGGTTTCGTTTTCGAAAGGTGACTACTGCCAACAGCAGCGAGTCCTGACCATGACACCGACACCCTTTCATTTCAGCACTCTCAATACCCGGTGCGGTCAAAACAATAAAAAAAAACAATCACCTTCACGTAAAAGACAAAAAAAAAATGACCTCGTACACCCGGTGCTTGCCCACCCCCGCTCTGTGTGGTGATTTTTTCTCTCTCAGGGCTCAGGACACAACGCTCAGGGACACGCTCGTTGCCAATGACTGCAGCAAGATACACATAAAAAGAAAGCAAAACCAGGGCACGACCACCCTCCTTCCTTGCTCGCGAGCAAGAGCAAGAGGCAGACCCGACTGGCCTTCTCACAAGGCCTGCGGAACTCATAAGGCAACGCGCAACCATGCCCTCGCGGAGCGAGAAAATGCCACTCGTTCTGGCATGACGGCAAACACGGTCCTATTATCGTGCTTCGCTCTTCACGTACACTACCGAGACTGGGCAAGACCTTTCCCGAGAGAGGCAAAGGCAACAAAAAGGGGTGCAGCCACACCATGCTTCTCGACCACACTTGTTTACATCGTGCAAGTGGAGCCAGCCAACAGAGCCAGCCAAAGCAACAAAATCAACGCCTTGACATGCACGAAGGCAAGAAATAGTCCATCGACCATGTACGGACCCTACAAACAGCGGTGTCGCTACCTGAAGGCAAACCAGGACTGGCGCTAACGCAGCCGGACGCAGGGCAAAACAGAACACAACGACCAACGAATCATTGTTATGGGTGCGCCCGCACCCCAGACTGGATTGATAATAATTCTGGTTCAAGAGACGTGCAATCAATCGTAATCATCATCGTCACTGCTGCGTGTTACCATCAACCGCAGCTTATACCATCTCGGGATGAAAGTGCACTACGCTCAACACACGTGCCCACAGCATGAACGCAGCAACACTCCTTCCTCGTCCGGCTTAGCTGTACATGAACGAGATGAACCTGTCGCAGCAGCAGCAGCACCAGCAGCAGCAGCAGCAGCAGCAGTGGGGAGAGGTTTCAGGTGACAAACTGGCCGTTTGAAGTGCAGCGCATGTTGTAGCGGAGGAATTGATTCCCGTCTGACCAGAGCAACGTGCAGAAAAAACAAGAGTACGAGCATTCGCCTCTAACCTGCCTCTACTGGTATTCCATGATCCATATCGCTGCCACAGCAGAAAGACTGAGAAAGCTGACGCCGGCAAGAGCGGCGTTTGCTGAATACCTCCGAGGGGGGAGAGAACCGAGACAACAAGTGAACCGCCAACGTGCCAGCAGTACCTGATACCGGGCAACCAGAGGAAGCGAGCGAATCACGATCTATCTAGAGCAGTATAGCAGTAGCGTGCGACGGACACAACAATTGTGGAACTATGGACGGGAGCATCCTGGGTGCAGGCCAAAACTGAGGACCCGGGTCAACGATAAGCACGAGGAATGGCAAGCATGTGCCAAGTGTTACAAACTTGACCATGAAACAAGTGGAGTATGCCCAAGAGACGGTGGAAGAACAAAAAATAGAGTGCATGACGCAGCGCACCGAACCTGGGAGCATATGCAGGTATGCTATATTTCCGTGGCTTAATTTCTTGAATTGCTGATTTCGGAACACTTGACTACAACCACAAAAACTTATTTATGCTAAGACCCTGATCTATGATAGCGATGTATGTATTGTGTTATATTAAGAAGCAAACATAACTGCCATACAAACAGAGAGCAGAAGAAAACAAAAACTCACTCGTCAATGCTGATGACTCCATCCCCATCCTTGTCGGCCACCTTGACAAGGAGGTCGATCTCGTCGTCCGTCAGCGTGTCGCCAAGGCCTCGCATGATCTCGGCGAGCTCCGCGCGGGTGACCTCTCCATCCCCATCCTTGTCGAAGAACTTGAAGGCCTCGTTGATCTCCTTCTTGAAGTCGGTCTCCACCTCTCCCAGCTGCATCATAGCCACAAACTCTTCGAACGAGATTCCGCCGTTGCCGTCGGTGTCCACCTGATTGCAGTAAAAAACACACACCCACAGGGAACACGGAAGGGTGGGGGGGGTACTCAGAGTCGTGCATGCCGCAGTCGTTAGACCATTGACCTCGCATCCCTACAAAGCCGGGACGGAGCACGCCGGGTTCTCACCGGACCAGGCGGAGGGGGCATAAATCGATGTTTTGCATGCCCTACTAGTGGTTAGACTAATGACCACGTGTCCGTGAGAGGACCGAGCATTGTTCCCACAGGACCAATCATCGATGGTCAACCGTTTCCTCCTACTTTGCCAAAGGTGGCTAAAAAAATAAGTTACTAGCTCGTCAAGAGACCATTCAGTTTCATGTCAAGAGGACGTTCTGAGGGGAAAGTTTAACAGTGTGCAGGTGAATAACTCTCCTTGAGGAGCATCAAGGTCATCGATCCGTATTCGAGGCCCGTGTCTGCGAAAAACCGCAAAATCATCGGAAGTGAGGGGTAGTAGCCCATCCAAAGCGTTGTTCTCGATGGGGGTACCAGCCCTCCCAAACCAACCACCATCACAAGGCGTGATGTGTCGGGTCGCGTGTCCTGCGACCTACAGATGGTTGTGCGCTGCGGCATCGCAGCTTAAGAGAGAATCACCGAGAGGGAGAGGAATTGTTCCATCCTTCCCGAAGGCACGGCAAACACGAAGAGAGAGGGGGGTGCCGCTGCACTGCTTGTCAAGCGATCACTCGCCCATACAGGGACAGACTGAACTGCCATGACTGCCTGGTCTCCACGTCGGATACACAAGCGAACGTCCCATTCACCTCAAACCAGAGGTGCACATACCAATTCCTCCGAAGAAACACTCTTGTTTGATCGGCGAGGGCCTTCAACCGTGATGCTATGTTTTGTTTCCGTACAGCACGCCAAAAGAGGGTGCGGCGTATTTGAAATCAATGACCCACCTTGGCCATAATCTCCTTGAGCTGTTCGTTAGTCGGAGAGTACCCCAGCGAGCGCATAACCACGCCCAGCTCCGACTCGTCGATGTTCCCACTGCAGTCCTTGTCGAAGTTGCTGAAGGCCTCCTTGTAGTCTTCGATTTCTTCCTCGCTCAGCTCCTTGGTCGTTGTCGCCGCGGTTACCATGGCTGTGCTGTGTTTTTATTTGTGGATGACCGCCGTTCTATGCTTTCTCGCCACACAAGGTTCTCGCGACTTCGGCTTCGCCCTGCTGATCTGTAACATGCGGATTGCGGTGGAAGGGACGACAAATCACGTTTCATGGCAAGGGGGGCATTCGCCAATGCTGTTGTCGCTGTCAGATAGCTAACAACTCTGACAGCCGATTAGCTTGGGTCAAGGATGTACGAAGACCAACCAAGGCACGAATCCTGGCCTGTAAGGAACCGCTGTGAGAAGTGAAGACACTAACATCTGTGCGATAAATAACTTCGGGAGTCATTCGAGGCTGGCTGCAAGTATGCTAGCATCGTTGAAAGGGAAGAACCGCCTTTGCGGTCCAGGATCAGTAACTGCTGTATGAATGAAGAGAAGAACCAAAGGGCCTCTTGTATCTTCAGGAAAGGCCATTGAGCCGAGATCTTCACACAACACACCTACCTGCTTGAAGAGGTGGGTCATTTGCTAGGGGTACACCCAACTTGAGGTGTTAGGTTTGGAGTTTGTTCTAGGCCGATGTGCACATGTATTCCGATCCTTGATTTCTAGACATGTGCAACTACCCAGTGTTGGGGTAGTTGGACTGGTAAGGATATTGATCTGAGCAGAGATCGGAACGGTTGATCATACCACGACAACAACAACATCATCAACACCAACGGTGAAGACGAGGCAAAATAAAAAAAAGAACGGAAGAAAGCAAAGTCGATGGTTGTGTTGTGGTTCTTCGGGCGAATCGCTGCATATCTGCATACTGATTGAGGAGCGGTCGGTCTCCGTAAATTATAACCCAGAACGGAGATCAGCAGACTATGCTGGTACACACATTTATCTCCTGCAGNGGCACGGCAAACACGAAGAGAGAGGGGGGTGCAGCTGCACTGCTTGTCAAGCGATCACTCGCCCATACAGGGACAGACTGAACTGCCATGACTGCCTGGTCTCCACGTTGGATACACAAGCGAACGTCCCATTCACCCCAAACCAGAGGTGCACATACCAATTCCTCCGAAGAAACACTATTAATCGGCAAGGGCCTTCAACCGTGATGCTATGTTTTGTTCCCGTACAGTACGCCAAAAGAGGGTGCGGCGCATTTGAAATCAATGACCCACCTTGGCCATCATCTCCTTGAGCTGTTGGTTAGTCGGAGAGTACCCCAGGGAGCGCAGAACCACGCCCAGCTCCAACTCGTCGATGTTCCCGTTGCCGTCCTTGTCGAAGTTGCTGAAGGCCTCCTTGTAGTCTTCGATTTCTTCCTCACTCAGCTCCTTGGTCGTTGTCGCCGCGGTTACCATGGCTGTGCTGTGTTTATATTTGTGGATGACCGCCGTTCTGTGCTTTCTCGCCACACAAGGTTCTCGCGACTTCGGCTTCGCCCTGCGGATCTGTAAGATGGGGATTGCGGTGGAAGGGACGACAAATCACGTTTCATGGCAAGGGGGGCATTCGCCAATGCTGTTGTCGCTGTCAGATAGCTAACAACTCTGACAGCCGATTGGCTTGGGTCAAGGATGTACGAAGACCAACCAAGGCACGAATCCTGGCCTGTAAGCAACCGCTGTGAGAACTGACGACACTATGAAAGGGAGGAACCGCCTTTGCGGTCCAGGATCAGAGGTGGAACACATCAAGAAGAACCAGAGGGCCTCTTGTATCTTCAGGAAAGGCCATTGAGCCGAGATCTTCACACAATACACCTGCTTGAAGAGGTGGGTCATTTGTTGGGGGTACACCCAACTTGAGGTGTTAGGTTTGGAGTTTGTTTTAGGCCGATATGCACATGTATTCCGATCCTTGATTTCTAGACATGTGCAACTACCCGGTGTTGGGGTAGTTGGACTGCTGTGACCACGGAAGGCATGCATCAGTTGGACTGGTAAGGATATTGATCGGAGCAGAGATCGGAACGGTTGATCATGCCACGACAACAACAACATCATCAACACCAACGGTGAAGACGAGGCAAAAATAAAAAAAAGAACGGAAGAAAGCAAAGTCGATGGTTATGTTGTGGTTCTTCGGGCGAATCGCTGCATATCTGCATACTGATTGAGGAGCGGTCTGTCTCCGTAAATTATAACCCATAACGGAGATCAGCAGACTATGCTGGTACACACATTTATCTCCTGCAGTATTTCAATGTACCAGACAGACAAGACCTGCTATTCAGTCGAGAGACATGTTACGGTAGCATGGCATTTCAGGAATGCATCTCGCAGACATGGATCGACTGTAGTTTTGCCTGGACATGCATATGCATACCTCCGCATGCAAATATTCCAGACTTGAGAGCGATCCGATCCAAGCAACACCCCACGAGTCTGATCTTCCAGTGTTGAAGATCCGGGAACAAATTAAAGGAGAGCATGCATGTGTATGCGCAACACAACAACAACGGTGTAGAGTTTTGATCACAAGGACACTAAGGCTGACGAAGTCCCGAGGAGACGCGTCTGCTGCTGTATCTGCCCGACAGGCATAAGGGAACAGGACATCGAACTGTTGCTGGGGAACCGGTCGCGTCTAGATGATTCGCGAAACCTGCGAAAGCGGGGAACGCTAGGGGGGTTATTGGCAACTGGCGACCCGGCGAATTTTATTTTGCGTGACGCGTGACGCACCAGCTCCCAAGTAACCCAACACGAATATTTCCCCGCTTTTCCTGCGAGGCTCTATACAGCAGCAGTAGTAAATCTGACAAACGCTCGAAAGTGCGGCGCAGATTCCCGATCAAAGGGATCGAGAGAGGGGGAGACAAGAGAGCGAGAAAGAGAGAGAGATGGGGAAAGAAGGGAGAGGGGGGCGGGGGAGGAGAGCACCTGCGTAGCACGCGGCTCTCGTCGGGGCGTTGTAAACTGCTCTTAAACTGCGATAATGACACGTAGTGGTTCCCAGCAAGCAGTGAAATGAGGCGATATTTATCAGCTAGCTATCGTCAATTCCGCTGGGGCGGCTGCCTAGCCAGTAGGTACGGCGACACGACCGGGGAGGAGCCGCCAAACAAGCAAACCAAATTCTTCCGCAAACGGTTGAAAGAATACGGGAAGTTTAGCTCGTGTCGGCTCGAGCTCCAAGTTCTTCAGGACGAAACACGGAAACACAGGGTTATCCGAAGCTCGCCGTATCATTTATCTGCTGTGGTCTTGATGAAAGGGCCAAATCTGGTCGGTCGATTGAAATAACACGCTCTAAACACACCACACCCTCAAGCTTCGAAGCGCAGGCCACGACACGCCAACGCCATAGCTCTCTCGTAGCACACTCTCAGCATGAAACTCGTCGTACCTGGTAAGCGGTGGTGCAGCTGTAGCGAAATGTGGAATAGCTTCTTGTGCATTGAGGAAAAATATAAAAGCGGGGGCTCCGTGAATCATTCTATTTTTTTTTTTAATCTTTGGAGGCGTTTGGTACATCTGTACCTATATGGGCGATTATACGTGCTAGAGTTAGTTCCACCGCATCCGTGGTCATCATTATCACCATATCGAGATAACACTTGTCGAGTCACGCTTTTTGTGCCATCTAACAAAACCTTGTCCTGCAGGGCATCGCCGGGCTCGCGAGGAGGGATAAGGGCGACAGGTAGCCTAGTTCTCCGACCGTCTGCGAGGGAATCGGAGGCGGATTGCGGGAGTACGAAGGGAAAAGGTGGCGAACAACATTGGTTGCTGCTCCTCTCCCGTAGACGATCATGGAAGCAGATCGAGGTGAGGCAGGCGGGTTGCATCGTCCCGACAGCGGTCGCCTCGCATAGAGGTCTCGTGTGGCCCAACCAGTTGAATGTGCTTAGTAGGGCCCGCCAGATCTGAGGCACACGTTGCTCGGATGAACCCTCCTTCTCCGCACGCTAGCTTCTGTAGCGGCAAGCTCTCGCCCCGACTTCTTGATCCGGTAGTATACATTTATTCAGCAGTGAACATGTGAAACTGAATGGCAGTTCCGGTGTTCTCCCCACCCTTACGGCCGTGAGTGCCATCATGCCACCACGATGCCGTCGTCAATGTACACGGCGCCACGCGATCATTGTCTATCTCTCTACGTCAATGTTTTTTCTGTCGGTGTTGAAAACGCCCCGCCCGGGGTGTACACGATGAAAGATATCATCGTTGTTGTTGCTGGGGGGGGGTGGTGTGTTGCTAATGAGGGCGGCTGGTGCTGGTGCGCACCACCGGCTGTACGCTGTACCGATTGAGTAGGGTACGCCGGTACACTGCTGTGCTGCTGGTCTGCTGGTGCTGTGTGTGTGTGTGTGGCGGTATCGAGTGACTGTCATGCCTAACTTCCTGATTAGCCCGATACCGCTCGGTCCCGGTGTCGCACCGGTACCGTTATTTACATCGTACCGAACGTACCGGTATGTTCGGTCAAGGTATTTACATCGTACCGAACGTACCGGTATTTCCGGTAAGGTATTCAAGTCCACACCGAACGTACCGAGCATGCCCGCTATGGTATGGCAGTCCATATCGGTACCGTACCGAACATCTCGGTAGTTGTAACGAACGTACCGAAAACTTCGGTAAGGTATTCAAGTCCGTACCGAACGTATCGAACACTTTGGGAAGGTATTCAAGTCCATACCGAACGTACCGAACGTACCGAACATCTCGGTAGTTGTAACGAACGTACCGAAAACTTCGGTAAGGTATTCAAGTCCGTACCGAACGTATCGAACACTTTGGGAAGGTATTCAAGTCCATACCGAACGTACCGAACGTACCGAACATCTCGGTAGTTGTAACGAACGTACCGAAAACTTCGGTAAGGTATTCAAGTCCGTACCGAACGTATCGAACACTTTGGGAAGGTATTCAAGTCCATACCGAACGTACCGAACGTACCGAACATCTCGGTACCGGTAAACCGGAGGTATAATACCGCTAATACGCCTCGGTATGTACCTTACCAAACACACCCTTGAATAGATTTGAATGGGTAACTTCTGATTGGTTGGTCGGTTGTGCACACGACGGATTATGAGCTTATGCTACCACCCGAATATTCCGCTATGGTATGGCAGTCCATACCGGTACCGTACCGAACATCTCGGTACCGGTAAACCGGAGGTATAATACCGCTAATACGCCTCGGTATGTACCTTACCAAACACACCCTTGAATAGATTTGAATGGGTAACTTCTGATTGGTTGGTCGGTTGTGCACACGACGGATTATGAGCTTATGCTACCACCCGAATATTCCGCTATGGTATGGCAGTCCATACCGGTACCGTACCGAACATCTCGGTAGTTGTAACGAACGTACCGAAAACTTCGGTAAGGTATTCAAGTCCGTACCGAACGTATCGAACACTTTGGGAAGGTATTCAAGTCCATACCGAACGTACCGAACGTACCGAACATCTCGGTACCGGTAAACCGGAGGTATAATACCGCTAATACGCCTCGGTATGTACCTTACCAAACACACCCTTGAATAGATTTGAATGGGTAACTTCTGATTGGTTGGTCGGTTGTGCACACGACGGATTATGAGCCTATGCTACCACCCGAATATTCTATGCATAGATGTGTATGCATCCACTGGTGCTGCTCAGAAGCGTTATACTCCCGACAAGTAGTTGTTTGCCTTGCCAAGGAAGTCCTTTGGCGCTCACCTGGTAGCTTGTACGACTATCATAATGCACGCCGTATGCATACAACAGAGCAACAGAGCCTTGAGCGACGAAGGTTCGAAAGCACATGATCAATGTTGTTGCAAATCTATCCGCACATTTTCCTGTGGACATGCAAGCACACAACGTCTTGGGTGTCGGTGTGCCAGTCCGTGCGTCTTTTTCCCCGTGGCACGACGAGGGATCCCCTGATGATCTGATCGTAGCACTGTAAACCGTATACAACACAAGATAACACACCCCCTGGCTCGATTTTGAAAGCTCGATTTATCAACAGCAAAGAGTGCGGGGGGGGGGGGGGGGGGCCC